ACATACATTATTTATTATTCAAAAATATTATTTTGGTCATTTCATAAAAATTCAATCTCAAATGATAGTATAGAAAAAACTACCTGAAAATAAATTATACATAATATTAATGTGGTTTTTTTACTCCTACAACTATAAATTATGCTTAGACCATGTTATGTAATTAAAATTTTTAAATTTATTTTTCATTGAAGAGAATTACTTTTTATGTATAGTTTTTAGATTCTCACATTTTTTAACTATTCTCAGTGCCTTTAACACTTCAAGTCATTCAAGTTGAATATAAAGCTTTATCAGCCTGACCTTATCTGTGCCATATGAACAATTTCCAAGTCTTTTCCTTCATGAGCACTAATAGTGTTTAAAAAAAGGAAATTAATTGAATACTTATTATGTCATGAAGCTACTTGTATTAATTTGAATTATATCACTGACTGAAACATTTTCCCTGTGTGTCTATTACTGTGTGGCTTTTCATATAGCATAAAAAGCTGCTATTTTTTTTCCCCACTAAGTCTGGTACTGTAACAGGAAGCAAGTATGGATGCAGAAGTAATTTAGATGCATTTCTTTCTCGCTTTCTCCTCCCTTCATTGTCTAATTTTAAAGTTTTCTCTAAAATAAATGGGAGCAGAAGTATTTAACCAATGTGATGACAAAATTCATTTTCATGGCACTCACTTTGTGCCTTAGTCCTGGGTCTCCAGACTGAGGCAGATGCCCATTCGACCTTACTTACATTCCTGAGCTTCACAGTCAGTTTAGAGTTTGTCTGCCTTCTTGTTTCTCTCTTCTTTCCTTTTTTTTTTTTAATTTCTATAATCCTAATCTCCTAAAATGAGCAAATTGTAAACCAAGTGGGCATTCCGTGGCCCTCAAATCTAAAAAGATGGTTTTTATGTACATAATTAGTTGTCAGTATTTTAGGCTACCAAATAAATATCCTATTTTTTATACACGTATTTCAATGTGTTTTGGCTTTATGAAAATAAAAAGTTTTTGTATATGCTGTCGATCACTATTCTTTTTTTTTTTTTTTTGGAGAGGTTTTTGCTGTAGGGCGCATGCACTTGCCAGAAAGACAGAGACAGACAGAAATCGAGAAATCACCCCCTGGGGGGATGGCCATGCTGCAATCCCTTCTCCTCTATTCTCCTCTCAGGATCTTGGGACTCATGCACACGTGCCCGGCATGAGTTTAAACCACCAGGTCCGGGACTCGAACCAGTGTCGACTACAAGGGAGTCCAGTGACATGGCCATTATGCGAACTGCTTGTCCGATCACTATTAATACTTTGAAGAGAGATTCTAGAATAGAAATCCAGCTTATAATTGAGTTCAGGATTTATTTGACGTCCTCTGCAAAGAGAGGTCCCTTTTTATACAACTAAAGTTAGAAACATTTTTCTATAGCATTTTATATTCTTTTTTCTTCTTTCTTTTTTATTGAACTAAGGGGGTGATTACTGTTCCTTTTGTGGACTAGCTGCCCTTTGTTGCATGACTTTTTAACACTCCTTAACTCAGATTCAGTCTTTAGAACCCTTTCTTGCCATTTCTTTCTCATCATTCCTGATAGGTAGTTTAGTGTTTGTTTGTTTGTATGTTTGTTTTATAATCTTTTTCAAAATCAGCAGAAATCTGTTAGTATTTGCTAGGCTTAAAACAATGTTTGGCTAACAGAATTGCCTGTTTTCATTCTGTAAGGAAACCTCTTTGAATTTGGGGTTCCAGGACAGGATTAGCAGCTTAAACCCTAGAAATTTGAGCCCGTGACTGACTTAAAACTCACTTTTAATGTTACTGTGATAATCCTGTCACTAGACTCTCAAAGATCTGTGAGTGATCACTAATATTTAAAACTCTATAAGATGTTGGAACCAGCAGTTAGTGTAATGGCTATGTCACTGGATTCCCACGTAGTCGACCGCGGTTCGCGGCCTGGACCCGGTGGCTTAGAACTCACGCTGGGCGCGTGTGCGTGCGTGCCCAAGATCCCGAGAGGAGGATGGAGGAGAAGGGATTGTGGTGTGACCATCCCCCCCTGGGGGGTGATTTCTCGTTTTCTGTCTCTATATCTGTCTCTGTCTGTCTGGCGAGCGCACGTGCCCTATAGCAAAAACTTCTCCAAAAAAAAAAAAAACTCTTTAAGATGTAAATTATCCCACAGTTGAAAAAGCATGTTGAAGTCTTTTCTTTCTCTCTCTCTCTATCTCCCTCTCTCTCTCACCATACACACACACACACACACACACACACACACACACACACTTACATACTCACAGTTGGTTCCTTAGGCTTTAAATTAGGCTACAAATTGGCAATTAAAAAATCTTTAACATATATTTCTAAAAATGGTTCAAATTAATATTTTAATTTTTTTATCAGTATAGATAATGTTTGACCTTTCTCAAGAAATATTATAAATCGAGTGACTCGTTTCTTTATTCTTAAGAGAGTAATAGCTTTTCTTTTCTTTTTCTTTCTTAAAAAATTTGCCAGAGGGTATGTATTCTTATGTATTCTGGGGGAGGGTGGGGAAGCACCTCTCATGGAAAATGATCTCTCTTCAATCCCTTCTCCTCCATCTCTCCCTCCTTTTAGGGTGTTGGGCACACATACTCACAAGCCCGACTCGTTTTTCAAGCTGCTGGGTCTAGTACTCAAACTGTGCTTTTAGCCATTTGGGATCCAGCTGTCTTAACCACCATTCTACCAGCTGGCCTAAGAGAGCATTAGCTTCTCTGTATCTAATGAGCAGAATTAAACTTATATTTTGGAGTTTGCAGAATATCGTGCTCTTCCCTATGTGTGGACAACTTTCTCTCCATATTTTGAAGAAGAAATTTAAAAATCATTGTTTGCCATCTCTTTATTCACATTTCTTTTTCTCTGTGGGTATACTCTCCTTCTTTTATTTTAAACATTTCTTTTGCATTTTTTTTTGCATTATTTTTCATCTCAGTAACTTTTCCTAAGTGATTATGAAAAATGTTATAATTTGGCTGTTATAACTTAAAGATTTTGATCCATCATTCTCATTTATGGTGAATTGTATGTTTTAGTTTTTTGTCCTCTTAAACAAAATTTATACTGTGACACTACTCAGATTCCGAGCAAGCAAATCAATTTTAACTTAGTATGACTTGTTAGTTTTATTGTTATTTCAGAGTAAAATCCTTTCTTTTTTATCCCATCAAATGTCTCAGTTCCATGTAGATACCACTCTCTTGTTTCTAAGCTCTTTGGACAGTTTCCTTTCTGTATTTTAAGGTCAAACTATCAGAAATTTTTAAATGCTTAATTGAAATTTCTGATTCTTGCCTAAACTGGTGGTCAGCTTTTTTTTTTTTTTTAATGTAAGGTAAAGAATGTCTATATTTTTGGTTTGTGTCCTAACTATTCAATTCTGTATTTGTCATAAGACAACTATACGAAGTACACAAAGAAATGAATATGGCTGTGTTCTAGTGACACTTTATTCATAAAAACAGTTAGCAAGCCATAGTTTGCTAATCCCTGACTGACATTTTTCTCTTCCCTTATTTCAATGGGAAAGAAAGCATGTCATGAAAATTTACTATTTTTCTTTTCACATCATAATAGAATTTTAATAAAGCTTCTTTTGCCCCTCTTAGATTACATCATTATCTTTTCCTGATAAATATTGGGTCATCAGGAAAGTCATGATCTATTTTTCTAGGCAAAAATGCAACATGACTTTCAGACAATACAGTATTTTGTGAAAACTTCGCTCACGTTGGGGACCAGCAGTTAGCGTGATGGCTAGGTTGCTGGACTCCCATGTAGTTGACTGTGGTTCGAGTCCCGGACCTGGTGGCTTAAACTAACGCTGGGCTCGTGTGTATGCATGCCCAAGATCCCGAGAGGAGAATGAAGGAAAAGGGATTGTGGCATGGCCATCCTTCCTGGGGGGTGATTTCTCACTTTCTGTCTCTCTGTCTCTCTCTGTCTTTCCAGCGAGTGCACATGCCCTATAGCGAAAACCTCTCCAAAAAAAAAAAAAAAAAAAACAAAAAAAACTTGTCTCACACTCACATTTTCTCTATTCTAATCTCTTTCTATTCTTCAGACCTCTTTTTTTTTTTTTTTTTTTTTTTAAGTTTGCTATAGAGCATGTGCACTCACAAGAGAGAGAAAAAGATAGGGAAAGTGAGAAAACACCCCTTGGTGAAAGGGAGTAACTTTGCCTCAGTCTCTTTTTTTCCATTCTCCTTAGGATTTTGGGCACACACACACCTGCCCAGGGTGTTTTTCAAGGCTTCCGAGTCCGGGATTCAAAATGTCTAGTCAGCCTTGTGGGTTCTAGCCGCCTTAACCACTACGCCACTGACTTGCCCCCAGAAATACAAACTTTGATATTTTAATATTTTTATTAATTTTATCAGTCAAAATGTTGCTATTTCTTTATTTTATTTAACAAATTTTTATTGGTAGTCTACCAGGTATTGGGCTAAACATTTTATATCACATATAGTAGAAGAGGGAAATGAGACATGTTCTTTTTATTGTTGTTTTTTTCCTTTTTTTTTTTTTCAGCTTTCAGTGTGAGAGGCAGAATGTAAATAAGCGAGTATAAATATGTCTTTTAAAAATAAATGCTCTGAATAAGTACAGCTGGGTGTTCAGATGAGCAAACTTAATGTTGGATGGTCATGGAACGCAGAACCTGAAGAATAGGTAGAAATTTGGCAGTCAGGGATAATATTCTAGTCAGAAAGCATTTACTACGTCTCCGAGGTAGGAAAGAGCTAAAGCCATTTGAGACGTCTGACACCTGGCTTTGGGTAAGCACCAATGGGGAGAGTGGCCAGCATAAGGCCAAGGGAGTAGAGGAGTTTATATAGAAATTGGTAAGCTGTATTGTGGAATTGGGAACTGTTTTAACAAGGGAGTGGTATAATCTGATTTTACTGGCTTGTCTCACTTATGAGGTTTTCCAGTCACTCATTCATTTATCTGTCAAATGCTAAATGTTTATTTTGTGCAATTAGTAACCTCCATGCTCTGAGGAGCATAGAAATGACCCTGCTCTTAAAGAAATTACAGTCCAGTAGTTACGTTTCTCCTTTTCCCTTGTTCATTTATTATTTTTCATTCTCTTTGCCCTATTAACTATTAATGTATGAATCTATTATAGTGTTTATTTCCTTACTTCGGTAAACCTATCAGGTACGCTCCTTACATTCAGAAGTTCCAGAATGATAACATCTTTTTTCAGCTCTGCAGCACAAGTTATTTCTACTTTGTTTTTGCTTTTGCTAAGAGTTTCTATATGATGAGACAAGTTGGTTGAAGACTGTGATGATAGATAGGCTTTTTAATGTATATATAACTAGAGATTAAATGTTCAAACAAGCTTTTGATTATCATCCTTCAGTTTATTGCACGCGCATTTTTAGATAATACTAACAGAGCTTTAGTAGTAGCAGGAGAAAGGATTGTAAATAACTCCTTTCTCATTTTCAGCTCTAACATGTATATCTCTGTTAAGACCATTTTGGAAGGGATTATTAAAATTTAGGAATCTTGTCTCAGGCTAGGTGTACTGATTAACATCTGACAGGAGCAATTTGCCCGAAGTTTTAAAGACTCCTATTTGGCAGTCTGCCACAAGGCAAGGACCTTAAGTGTCTTTAGTCAAAGCAGTTTCTCAGTCTGGGCACTGATTATTTTGGGGGATGGATAACTGATTGTTGTTGGGGATTGTCCTATGTGCAGTATAGGGTGTTTAGCAGAATCCCTGGACTTTGCCCACTGCATGCCAATAATATCCCCTTCTCCAGTTGTTAAGAACAGAATTTGTTAAATATTCCTTGGGCGCAAAATCTCCTCTTCTGCAAACCTCTTTGCATATCACTGAATTCAAGGATCATGGACCAGAAGGACATCAGAACCCCTAGCCTTTTGTGAAGGCAGCTGAGGAAGACATTCACTGGGTGCCTAAGATCTCCTCAGTCGAAAAGAACCCTGCTCCTTAGAAGAGATGTCAAGTTATATACTTTATGTTATCATTTTGTCAGATTTTTAAAATGTATTTTAACTTAATACTTTATATTTTAATTCTGCTGCTGTATATCTACATGCTTATGTTGCTAGTTTTATTGATTTATTCTTTATCTTCTGATTTTTGTAGTTAACTTACCTTGTTGTATAATATTACAACTTTTTAAAAAATTTATTTAGTTAGTTCATTCATTTATTTTTTCATTCATTCATTTATTTTTTATTTATTTATTATTCATTCATTTATTTTTTCATTTGACCAAAGAAAGGCACACAGAGAGAGAGAAAGTGAGAAAGCAAGCCACCAGATCTAGGACTTGAACTGTGGTCAGCCATGTGGGAGTGTCCAGTGCCTTAACCACTGTGCCATCTGTTGGTTCCCAAACATTACAACTTTTTAAAGTTTATTTATGAATTTCTTATATGAGTAAGAGAGAGAAAGATAGACAGGACAACAGCAGGGTGTTATCTCCCAGCCTTAGCTAGCCTTTCCTACTCAGAGAAGTCTCCTGAAGAGAACTCAAAACTTTGTCATGGGGGTCACCCTTGCAGAGCATCGTGTTTTACTGCAGTGCCACTTTCTTACTCCATCACAATTCTTAAATACTGTTTCTTTTCTCTGATTTTACTGATAGTATTCTACTGGTTGGACTTACTTATTCAACTGTCATTCTATTGTTTACCTATTCTGTTACTTACACGGAGAGTATTAATAGAGAATTCATAGCATTAAATAAATTATCCCTTTCGATTCATGTGTATATTTTATACATTCCTGTCTTATTGGTGCACTTGAAGTTTCCAAATGGAAGAGATTTGAAGCTTTTACTGTTTTCTTGGTAGTTGGTTGTTTTATTATTTAAGTTTACCCCACACCCTCCTGCATAGTAAATTAGGTATAAGCTTCTAAGGTAATCTTACACACTTTGTTGTTCGCATTTTTCTTCTTTACCTTGTGCTTTTCCTCCTTTTCTGCAGTTGTAGGATTCCAGGATGGTACAAGCACAGTTAGTCTATTTCTTTTTTCATATCTGCTCAAAACTGACCATTGCAAATTAAATACATGTGTATTCATTTAAAAATAAAATACTGGCTTTCTAAAGAAGCAGTCTTCTTGTGGGAAGAGAACCTTAATGTTAATTAATTGTCTAGTTGTAGATAAAATCCCATGTCTGTCTGTATTTTCATATTATCTATCCATGTATAACTGTAATTTCAAGACTTTTATTTGAAATAATAAAAGATAATGTTTGGTGCCAGCTGGCGGCATGTTGATTAAGGCAGCCAGATCCCACGTGGCTGACTATGTAATTTGAGTCCCAAGTCAAGTAGCTTGAAAAACACACAGGGCACATATGCATGCGTTTCCAAAATCCCCAAAAAAAAATAGGAAATGGGTACCACCAGTTAGCATAATGGCTGTGTCGCTGGACTGCCACGTAGTTGACCACGGTTCGTGTCCCAGACCCAGTGGCTTAAAACTCACGCCGGGCACATGTGCATGCGTGCCCAAGATCCTGAGAGGAGAATGGAGGAGAAGGGATTATGGCATGGCCATGCCCCATGGGGGGTGATTTCTCGCTTTCTGTCTCTCTGTCTGTCTGGCAAAGCGCACGCACCCTAAAACAAAAACCCGTCCAAAAAAAAATGTTTTTTTAAATAGGAAATGGAGGAGAAAGGATTGTGGTGGGACCATTCTGTCTGGCGGGATACTTTCTCAATTTCCTCCCACTGCCTCTCTCCAGCAAATGCTGGTACCCTCTGGCAAATTAAAATAATTATGATGATGATTATATTTCAAAATGTGCCATACAATCTTTGCAAAGGCAAGAGATAGAAATATTATCTATCATTTGTGGTTTAAATCATGTGAGTGAATCTTACTGGTGTTGGGATCATCATTTGATTGACTAAAATCAAAATGAGAGAGCCCAAAGGCCAGCCAGTGGCATGGTGGTTAAGGTGACTGCATCTATTAATAAATGGCTGACTGCACAGTTGAGAGTCCTTAACCTGGCAGCTTGAAAAACACACCTGGCGCGTGTGTGTGCATGCCCAAAATCCCAAGAAGAAAATAGAGAAGAGATTGTGGTGTGGCCATCCCTGAGGGGTGATTTCTCAATTTTCTTCTCTGTCTCTCTGTCTCTCTCTCCCACCCCCTCATTACTTGCTCCCCTTTCTCTCCCTCTCTCCTTCCACTCTCTGTCTCTAATGAGCACAGATGCCCTATAGCAGATTAAGAAAAGAAAGAAAGAAAGCCTATAGAAAATGCTATAGAATGTAGCAATAACTGTATTTACTTTTCTTTTTTTCTGTAGACTTTTCTTCACGAGAATTAGAGATTTTTATTTGCTCCTTTTCCTCCTCTTGGCTTCAAATGTTTGTTGCAGAGGCAGTTTTTAAAAAGTTGTGTTTACAGAGTTCCATCAGTATTTCTTCTGAGATGCTCTCTCTTCAGAAAATGGTAACTACCACTCTCTCCTAGCTCTCTTAATTTTCTAAAAGTAAGTTAAAAATTTCCATTTTAAAATAGTTTTAATTATTTCTAATAAGTGGATAAGAGCATATTGATTTATAAATCTTTAAAAATCTGTGTAAGATTTTTTTAAACCTCAAAAACAGTAATCAGTGGAAATTTTATTACTATTGAGAGTAATTAAGAATTGATAACAGAAAAAATACAAGAATTTTTGTTTTGTAATCATTTGCCATAGTGTCTAATATTATTATTTTATAAAGAACTAGATTCAAAAATATCGTATTTAATGGTATTTAAAAAGCAAATGTTACAAATGTTGCCATCCTCTATATACACACATTTAAACAGCATTTGATACAGAGCTTTTCAGTTTTATCTTGACTATCTTTAGATCTTAATATCTAATATCTTCAGCAGCTTCTTTAACAGATGAGAAATAATTTGTTTAGTGGTCAGTTTGGGCAAACTCTGTTTTGTTACAATTCTTGTCTTTAAGGTCATTTTTTACTCCTTATTTTATTTATTCCAGACTTGTTTTCTATTGAAGAAAAGCATTATCAAAATGGAAATGACAAGATACCAGTTGTACATAAATCATAAATATTAAAAATATGCAGCTGATTAGAAGTTGTGCATGAGACTAATTGAAAAACTTCTCTAAATGTGCATCAAAATTAAATTAGAAAAAGTTATTTTAAGAAAGTATTTTTCTTCTTGTCCACCTTATATTGACTTAATGACAAGGCAATAGCAACTCTTAATATTTTATCATATTTAAACAAGATATGGTGGCAACCATTGAGATGAAACCAAGGAAGCATAACCAAATAATTGTGAAATGAATCAAAGAATTTTTTAATGCTTCTTGTGTAAAGAAAGCAATATAATATTATTTTGCAACAGGTATATTCATATTTGCCAGCGTTGGGGAAAACTGGTGTGCATGGTGCAAGAAAGATGCAGATACCAAAGAAAACAGGACAGAGGCCCTGCTTTGAATATCAGAGAGCCTTACTCATGCTGAATGGTGCTAAACAGAAGCAAGTCGAAGGGCTGCCAGAGTTACCGTAAGTGATGCTGATATCCCAACTGTGCTGTAGTTTGGCACACAGTTCTCTTTTGGACACATTTCTTGAACTGTATGGTTAACTCTAGTACCAGAATTATACTGACTAGCAGAACTCAGATTTAGACCAATAAATACACATGATCCACATTTTCTCTTTTTGTAATTGAGTGTACATACTTTCTATTAAGATTAAGTGCTTCCCAAAATAAAACTATTTATCACATTATTTTTTTACATAATTCTTGCTCAGAGATTGGAATTACAACTTTCTTGTAATACAGATGAAATTTCAGAATACATGGCCATACAAAATATTCTAAATTGTTATAATAACTTCTCCCAAATGAGAAACAACCTCTGAAAGTATGCTGCATAAATCTTGGAAAATCTGAAATGTTTTCTGAGAGGGAAAACAGAATAGGGTCAGAATATGAAGATAAAAATTGGGAGAGCGGAGCCCTGTATACGATCTTAGCTTGCCGCTTTATTCTCTCTGCCAACGGTGGTTTACTTGGTCACTTTCTCTTTACTCGACATTCTGTGTTCATAAACTTCTCAGTGGGCTGTTGGGGTAGGCAAAGCTAATAAAATGAAAATGAATGTATTAAAATTAGTTTCTATACATTTGAACTAAAATTTTAAATTAGAACGCAATAAAGATTGAGTAAAGGGGGGTTACATTAAAAGGAGCCCAGATTTTTTTTTTAAACTACTGACTACTAATGTCTGTTGGCATGCTTTGCTAAAAAACAAGCTTTAATTATTTCTTAATTTCCTTTCAGAGAGCTGAACCTTGCTAAATGTTCTTCATCATTAAAAAGATTGAAAAAGAAGACCGAAGGAGAATTGTCATGTTCCAAGGAGAATTGCCCCTCTTTAGTTCCAAAGATGAATTTTCGCAAGACTAATCTAAAAGGTATTCCAAGTATCTGAATTAATTTATGCTAAGAAGTTTTCATGGTTGTAGTCACTACTTGGAAGTTTCATACATTTTCTCTGATGAATACTTCAACTTAAATATTGGACTAGGTCCAGGAAATACCTTCCTAGATAGCATATTATTTTCTCGAACTGTCATTTATACAAAGAAAGCGATTGTTTAATACCCAGTATAATAGGATATTACTCCCTTTCTTGTTTTCTACTGCCTCTCCAGATACTGAACGGGGGTGTACAGCACACGTTGCAGACTTGCCCGCCTTACTTTTCTATTCCACCTCAACGGGTGCTACATAGGATCACTGTCTTCTGATTTGAAAGTATAATTCAGTCTTCATCTCTTTGAGTCCTAGACATTTTGTGAACAAAGAATGAGGAGTAGGCTATGTTACATAGCTGTGTTAAGCATATGGGCTCTTTTCTTCCAGGCATTGAGCCCAGACTATGAAATGTGTTTGGCTTTTGGTTCTAACTATACTGGAACCTAAGTGCCTAAAGGGTGGAATAACAAGAATAACGTAATAATTCACTCTGGCACCTTTCTTACTTAAATACCTCTTAGATGTCACAAATACAAGTTATCTTCCAGGAGTGTTTACCTGGCCAAAGTATATCACTGAGTCTCTTTTGTTTATGACATACCAAGTTTTTAATACAAATATTATTATTATGGCACATGGAAATAGTGACAGTGAAGCTCTTATAATCTTTCAGCATAATATAAATTCATAATTTCACATCACAAATGCAAAATAGCTGCCCAATTGACTCACAGTATGAAACATGTATTAGATAAGAACTCAGATATTAACTTCACAAATCAGTGTCCCTTTTTCTTTGTTTTATTGTTTCTGAAAGTAAAATGAATATGAATGACTTAGGCTGAACAGCCAAAGGAACTGGGAGAGAGAAAGAGAACTGAAAAATAGTAGGAAAAAATTTTCAAAAGCTTTCCTATGCATATAAACAAAATGTTTTAGTCTAAGTTACAGAGATAATTTATGAAACTGAACACTGTAGAAATGTGCTTAGTATTTTATAGCAAGAATAAATTTGATTCAGTACTTTTATTTTGTTTCCTAAGCAATCATTTATAATAAGTTTTAAAAGTCCCTTTACATCAAATTACCACTTATATCTTATTAATCTTGGTTTTAATGGAAATGGAAATAGATTCTTTTAACCAACAGGTACTAATTCTAGCCCTCCTTGAAAAAAAACATACCACTGTATTGTTACTCTTGTTCAGCTTTAAATGGTACCAGGGATTTTTTTCAGAGAGAGAGAGAGAGTGTGTGTGTGTGTGTGTGTGTGTGTCTATTGGGGTAGTGGAGGGGGTGTTTATATTAAGATTCCTCCATTTCTCCCTCTCTGTGCTGCTGTAGCCAAGCCAGACAGCCTATTGAGAAGCAGCAAACCATCTGTTAATGGATTTGAAGTTCTGAATTATACTTGAGTGTGTAGAGGCACTCGTGCTTAGCCAGAAACATTCATTTGAATTAAGCTATAAATGCTGTATATAAAAGAGCCATACATTTAACGTAGGTTCATGAATAAATTTAAGAGAGGGCAATTGCACTCTAAACTTTTATTGCTGCAAAACCGAGTATTTTTGGTGTTCTCTGATCATTTGGGTATTTTATAGCAGAACTGAAGCTTTAAACCTTGAACTAGGGGGAGACAATGCCTGTGTTAAACCTTTAGATGTAGAATTTCTTTGCCGAATTGCTGATACAACAGGAGTTCTATGGATTGGTGGGGTTTCCTCCTCCCCCCTCCATTTTTTTTTTTTTTTCCCCTAATGCAAGAGATGTTTAAATCAGTCAAAAGGAAAACTCAATAAATAATTTTCTGGCATGAAGCCAGATCTCCTAGTTCATGCCCTTTGATTGTTTTCTTTAGTTGATATCTTGTCTTCTCTGGAATAATCTATTAATTTTTTATGGCAGGAGAAACAGCCCTGCATAGAGCTTGCATAAATAACCAAGTGGAGAAATTGATTCTTCTTCTCTCTTTGCCAGGAATAGACATCAATGTTAAAGGTAAGTTCTAAATCTTTATGATTTAATGTAATGTCTTAATATTTGTGGTTTAAATAGTTTTTATGTCACGTGAAAAAAATTATAAATAAGTTTACTAAATGTTTAAAATACTGCCATTAGTAAAACCAAGAAATTTATTATATATTGTCTATATTTTGTTCATATCTCAACATTAAGATTTTTAAATTGTTTTTATTTTAGTAATTTCCTTAAAAGTATAAAGTAAAAATTTGATTGTACTATAGACAATTTTTATCAAAGTGTTCTTTTTAAATACGAAGCACCTAGACAATCAAACTGATGAGAGAAATAGACATCAATACTTTACTACCAGAAGTCCTACTTTGGCTGTTTCAAAACTTGCCATGATTTCTAATTTAGACAATGCTGGCTGGACGCCTTTGCATGAAGCCTGTAACTATGGCAACACAGTGTGTGTCCAGGAAATTTTGCAACGTTGTCCAGAGGTAGATCTGCTCACTCAAGTGGACGGGGTGACTCCTTTGCATGATGCACTGTCAAACGGACATGTAGAAATTGGCAAGCTGCTACTACAGCATGGGGGTGAGTGCATTTATGCTAAATGGATTTTGATACATTATCCAGTTTTTTGGATAAATCTCTCAGAGGTAGATAGCATTTTATACTTGAAATCTATGAGGAAAGATGCCTTTAGTTCATATTAGTGAAAAAATAAGAATAAAGGTGGAATTTAAGCATCTTTTATTAGTAGGGATAAAAAAAGCCTTTCATAGTATGTATTTATGTATTATTAAGCCTATTCAGGTTTGAATAGGAGAGTGCGTTTTTTTAATCGGGTATGTTGGTTTTAAATATTAATCCTTTTACTTCAAATGTGTGATGTCTATGTGAACCAGTCATTTCTGAAAGCATTTTAATAAATGGATGTAAATGTTCAATTGTGATTACTTCAATTTTTTCATTGTTTCATTTCTTGCATATAACTACTAACTTGATTAATCTTATTTTTATGAGTCATTTCTTTACAGACTATAAAAGATATTCTAGAATATTTTTTTCTTCATTCACATTTTGCAGTCAATTAAGTTAAAGTAGGAAAATTTTTCAAATGGTGATAATTGTTGTGTAGGGGTTTTGTGAAGGAGGGAATTTGAGCTTAATATTCACCTACTGCTTTTTCTGCTTCTTTTCGATACTTGCTTTCAGCAAAACTCCTCTGTTACAGTGACATGCTGCTTATATCTGAACTGAAAAATATAAATGTTACATAAAGATGTTCAAAACTGGTTTATGCTTCAAAAAAGAAAAAAACTAAGAACTAGCTTATAGTACAGAAACAATTTGTATAAATTTCTTGTTGCTTTTATTTGTACTAATTTTAACTTAGAATTTCACATTTTATCCCATAATCAAAGCATTTGATTCTGTATAAAAACAGAAAGTATATTTTCGTAGATGTCTTTTTACTATATATACTGTGCATCTAAGAAAGGCTGTATACCATGGCAGACTAAGACGCTTGGTTATTTATAGTCTTCTCCTGCCCCCTAAAGGCCTTACCAGGTCTGTTGAATTGATACCATTTCATAATCAATATATTTTTTCTGTTCTGTGGGTTTTTTTTTTTCAATGTTATATATATATTTACTAAACCATACTTTTTTGTCTTCGAAGGTTTTTTGTTTTTCTAACCAACCGTGTATCTAACATTCAAGGCATTATTTGGTTTTGCCTCAAATTAGCAAAGTGATAGAAGAGCCGTTATTATGTTAAGTCCAGCTCCTGGATAGAGTATGGCATTATACTAACCAATGTGAATTTTTCTAGGGCTCTTAGTAAAGAGTAGTAAATGGAAAAATGTCTTGTCCTAAGAGAGGAAATCTACTTGTACTTGCATTTATTAATGTCCTTTGGCAGTTGTACAGACTTAAGTTTGCTTTAGTCATATTTTGGACTTGCACTCACTAAATGTATTAAATGTAGCATTATATTTTCATTATGAGTCACTCAGTCCTAAGAACAATAATTTTAAAAACTTATTTATCTGTAGGACATAATAACAAATACTTTTGGTACCCTGTGTCCATACTTTTATCTTCAATTTTTTTTTTTTTTGACAGGAATAACAGAGCACTTTTTTTGAGATGGCAATAAAAAGTAGAAGGAGCTTAATTTTGGTTTAGAATTCTTTGTTTTTCATAAATTATATATTAACTGTGTATCATCAGTGATTAATCATTTATATCAGATACATTTTATATCTAGACTACTAAGTATGTGTGATCAGAATCATCATTAAGAGTTTTAATCAACCAGAGCCAGACCTATAGCCTAGTGGTTAAGAGAGTCAGAGTTCACATAGCCAACAGCGGTTTGAATTCTGATGTGACTATGCCCCATGGGGAGGTCCTTTTTCTCTCAGTCTCTCTATCTCTTTTTGACTAGTACACACACCATCTGACAAGTTAAAAAAATAAAGTCCAAGTTTATTTTAAAAAGAAAAACATACAGCATTTGTGTGCTTTAGTGGTCGGAATCCCAACAGGATGGAGAAAGGATTGTGGCATGACCATGCCCTACTTGGGGGGGTGCTTTCTCCCTCGGACAACATGATCTATTGATAGTTTGTAATGACAAACTTCTATCAAGTCTGCTAGTACTAAAATGTTTGTATCCCTTAGAACTTTTCTATGGCCAAATGTATAAATAATTCTAAGACTTAACTAACAAAGTTATATAGTACTCCTGTACTTTACTCTCTGACCAAATGCTGAGTCATTGTTTCATCCACATCATCCTTCACCACCTAAAGGATAAACTCTGCATTTAGTACTAAGTGATTGGTAAGATAGATTTAGCTTGGATAAAAGGGTGAGATCAGAGTTTGATCCAGAAGAATTAATAGTTAATGTTTTTTTACGTCAGTTACCTGTATTAAAAATTAATCATAAGCGTGGTTAAAATTAAAAATGTGTTCTGTGTTTATGCAAGGTTTTATAGTCTTTGCACTGCCAAATTTCTTACAGCAATGAAAAGGTTCAATACTTTTTCTTCATGATATTTTGAGATATCTTTAAATTCATATACAGAATTAAAGATGAATGTGTTTAGTTATTTTCTTCTGGGAATACTGAAATTCTATTTTTTTTTCTTTCTTTCTTTCTTTCTTTCTTTCTTTCTTTCTTTCCTTTCTTTCTTTCTTTTCTTTTCTTTTCTTTTCTTTTCTTTTCTTTTGATTTTTGCCATAGGGCATGTATGCTCAAGGGAGAAAGAGAGAGAAAGTGAGAAATCTCCACATACACACCCCACACCCCACCCCACTTCCAGGAGGTGGCCATGCCACAATCCCTTCTGCATTCCCCTCAGGATTTTAGATATGCATATATGTGCTCTGTGTGTTTTTCAAGCCACCATGTTCAGGACTCAAACAGTGGAGTTGGTATCCAGCACCTTAACCACTGTGCCATCTGCTAGCCCTGAAAATGTTAAGATAATAATTAACAAAGTTGTATGTATGTATGTATTTTAAATTTTGCCAGAGGGCACGTGCACTCACTGAAGAGAGATGAGGGTAGGAGAGGGGGATGAGAAACCATCCCCATTGGAGAATGGGCACACTCCTTTAATCTCTTCTCCATTTCATTTTGAAATTTTGGGCAGACACACACATGCACTGGCATGTTTTTTTTAAGCTGCTGTATCTGGTATAAACAGCACTGCCAACTATGTGGGATCTAACCACTTTAACTGCCATAACACTGGCTGGCCCAATAAAGTTTTATAAAGGCTTTTTTTTTTTTCCATTTATGGTCACACATATTATTTATTTAACTAGGGCACATACTTTTAGGCAAACCTCATTAAGTAGTTGACCAGATTTTTTTTTTTAATGCACCTCTACTAGGCAGTCAGTATATATTTTCATTTTAATTATGTCAACATGAATTGGTAGAAAATGTCCTAACAGCCCTGAATGCTTTGGGGGGAAGAAAAGAGAGGAAAAAACAGCTATTAAGCTGCCAAAGTAAAAGTTTCTTAACATTGTATATTTTCTTTTTTCACAGGCCCAGTGCTTTTACAGCAGAGGAACTCTAAAGGGGAATTGCCTTTGGATTATGTGGTATCGCCTCAAGTCAAGGAAGAGCTGTTCTCTATAACAAAAATCGAAGACACAATGGAGAACTTTTATGTACAAACAGAGAAACATTTTCACCAGCAGCAACTTGAATTTGGTTCATTTTTACTTAGTAGGATGTTGCTAAATTTTTGTTCAGTTTTTGATTTAACTTCAGAGTTTGTCTTAGCTTTCAAAGGGTTAACTCACCTAAATGAGTTGCTTATGGCCTGTAAGAGTTATAAAGAAACCACCGGTGCTCATACTGACTGGTTACTGGATCTTTATGCTAAAAACATAAAGACATTGCAGACGCTCCCACATATGCTTAAGGAACTGCCTGAGAATTTGAAAGTGTGTCCTGGAGTACACACTGAGGCCTTACTGGTGACATTGGAAATGATGTGTCGGTTAGTCACAGAGTTTTCATGATGATGGCAGAAAGTTTGAATCAAGTTTCTATACCTGTCCAACTTGCTTTGTCATTTGTTATGGACTTCATAGCTTATTGACAAGTACTACTTTATTTAATGACACTGCACTTTGATAAATTTAAAATGCACTTAAAAGAACTTCTTCCAAATTATAATACAGGATTCTTTCTAGTGTGTAGAATCTGACTCAAAAGTAAAATAGTTTTGTTTGATTTATACTGCTTTCACTAATCTTTTAACTTTTTTGGTTCTGAAAGTGATATTATTTATGTATTTATATTGTATATGTAAGAAACTAAGTATTTTTTCAAATCAAACTGTAATATCTTTATTCTAGATGTTCTAGGTCTTGGAATCATGGCACGGATATTCATACAGATGTGCGCCTATAAACATGCAGCTCCCGGTTTCTTCTCTATAGGCTTTTGGACTAACGTAAACATTTTAGTTTTGCATTTGTGTTTCTAAAATAAACATTTCTAAAATTTACAGTAGTGAATATTATTTTGGTTTTTAAACAGTGAATATGCAGAGTTTGACAATCCAATCCCTTGACTGTTTGTTTTAGCAGTTCATGTACAAAATGTATTACTACTTCATGTAATGTTAGTGACAACATTCTTCTGTGTATTAAGTTGTATTAATATTAAGATTAGAAGTGGTTTCTAAGTAATACGTTTAAGATTGTCTAAAATCTTAATGTACAGTATGAATTTATAGAGTAGTAACATTTCAATTTATACTTTTTTTCCTAATAACAATTTGTAGTCAGAGAAAGGGAATGGATAATAACCACTTTTGAAATTGGAGTGGCTTCATTAGTGAGAATGTTACATTGCAATACAGTAAAAAAAAAAAATTAGAACTTCCATTTAGCTTATATTTAACTAAAGTGATAATTTCACCACAATTAATCTACTAAAAACCATACTTCAATTTTATCTTGAAGCTAGATTTTTTTAACAACATACAGATGCTCACTGTCTTATTACTGAGTTTATAATCTAAATTGAAAACTGCTGCATTCGTATGTTAGCTCTGAATAAAAATGAAGAGTATTTTTTATTGTTTTAAATATGTATTTTACGCATACTGTAAGAAATATTAGTGTTACTATTTAACCTTCAAATGTGACATTATACAAATGTCATTTTATTATTTACTCAATTTACCTAAGTATCAGAAAGCATGATATAGTAGAGACATCTAAATAGTCAGTGAGAGTGAAATACTTCCCCAGTTGATAAGAATATTTTTATTCTAAGGAATAGCCACTTTACTTCACTTATAAATACAACTGGAGTAATATTTGCTTGGTAAACTAATATTAACCTAAGAACATAAGCTTTGACATCAGACAAAGTTTCAAATCCATGTCTAATTTCCTAATAAATAAATTACAAAGAAAATTCTGAGCTTTGGTTTTGTACATATCAAATGAAAATAGCACCAAATATCCTTGTCGGGTTTAAGGTGGCCTACCACATTATAGTGTACTTAATAAATATTACTTTCTTTCTAGTTATTACCTTCTTTTTTGGTTATAATGGATTAAGCAAAGGAAAGTAGTAATTGCTTAAGGTCGTAGTAATTCTAAGTTAATTAAATAATCAGTATCATGAATTAAGATTTTTGTACTGTTAAGAAAAAATGATTTTCTAAATTAGATGTTAATAAGAATTGTTTAGTTGTGGTTATAACTGACCATTCTATCTGCTAACTTCTATAAGCCATGATGACATTAAGTATGAAACACTCAAATACATTGAGGTCTTGACCTTTAAGAAAATATCTGCAGTTCCATACTTCTTCAAAAGATCAGCTTGGCGAACATAGATTTTCATGGCTTAGTTTATTAATGATACCGTTATGTAAGTGCAAATTTAAATGTAAAATGAAAACTTCATTTCTAATATTTTAATAAAATGTGATAATTATCTTAAATCTGTCTTAGAAGTAGAGAAAGAAGAAATTCTAAATAAATAAAATCCAAATTGTAGTCTTTCTGAATCTAAACTTTCTGAATCTAAACTTTTCAGTTAGAGACTTCTCAAAGTGGTAGGTGAAGACAAAGCTCAGTAATGCTGTTCTTTATTGTACTCTCCCAGGTTTGATATCAAGGTTCCATCCAGAAAGTAGTAAAATAAAAACTACAATAAAAGCCTTTAAGAGCCCTTATTACAATATAAATAAAGCCTGGAAGATTTCTGAGCTGTTAAGATTCAGCATTCCCACATGCACAAATTAAAAAATCACTGTTTTGAGTTCAACCTTTCTTTAAAATACCTACTATGTTCTGGCTAATGTGCTTGACTTTCTATACAAAAAAAAAAAAAAAAAAAAAAGGCTTATAGTGAGGGAAGGCTTAAATAACATGAGTTTCATTGTCTTACATATGCAGTTGAAAAATTAATTTTGGTTTTATGCATGTCTAAAATTTACAATAATGATTAGGTTTCTCTTTTAGTTTTTAAATGTTGTGAATACTCAAGATTCTGATTGTTTAACCCTCTGATTAGTATTATTTTAGCAATTTTATGTTACATTGAGTAGAATAACTATTTTTTTAGTAAAATAGTTACCATTCTTAGGCAAAAACAAATGCATTAACACCATGATACTGTATATAAACTCCAGAAAATATGTGTCACTTTTTTGTGTGCTGTTATAGAAAGTTAAATTTAAGTGAATACCTTCACATGGAAGAATTACTGGTGGAATGTGCAGTCCTTATGCCTTTATATGCCTTCCCAGTTAAGCAATGAACTTGATGAGAGCCTGTCACTGTTGCTCCTTAATCAGTAGAAAGGGGTCATCTTTGAGTGACATGAGATGCTCTTTTCCTCAGGCGTTTATCTCACGCAGCTTCCACGCCAATCTCACCTCCTACTGATGCAGAGCTTGCAAAACTAGGAATGATAATTGTTTTTATAGCCAATGTGGATTGAGTTAGAAAGGTCAGTGATGGTATTATTGGAATTAGGCTGTGCCTGGTGATGTTACAACTGGAGACATGGAATAGTTAACTGTTCCTTTTAAATCAAATTATGTTATCAAAAAATTCACCTTGTAGATAAAATGAATTGTAGTGGAAGTTTTTATTTCAGTTATTTGCTCTGATACAAATTTAGAGATTATTAGACTATAAATAAGAATAGTCATATTGTTTTACTTGAGTCTAAGCATACATTTCTCAAGGTATTGCAAATCCTACTTAAAGAAGACCTTTTCAGAGGAGACAAACATCGTAACTTCTCTTTAAATACTTATTATAATTTATGATTTACATATCATTATTCATCTTTGTAGGATACAGAATGGTATTTAAAAGCATGAATATTGTGTGTAATAAACAAATCAAGGATATAAACACCTTCAACCTTTAACATTATGTTGTGAATATTCAAAGCGCACTACAGTTGTTATTCTGCAAGTATGTACTGAATTGTCTGTGATATACTTTACATTGAGATACAGTTCTGGAGAAAAGCATGTTGATTAAAAATCAGGCAACAAATAATCTCATAAATTAACAAAGATCATTGTAACACAGCCTTTGTTAAAAGAGTTTGTAATTTCCTTATAGAAGGCTGGGGGTAAAAGTTTATAATCTGAAAAAAATATGTGGGTCTCAATCATTGGTCCAATTAGAGATAGATAAAATTGTACATAACAGTAACTCATTAGGAACAGGTAGAAAAATAACACTTTTACTCACACCCTGTGAGTTCCTGTAAGATCATAGTACTGTACTGTGCATAAAGAAATAAGTCCTCAAAAAAGCAAAGATAAAGCAAAATGGCAGGAGTTACTTAAAAATGACATTGTAAAGCCAGTGATTTGGTGCTTTATAGGCTTTATAAAATTCTTGATTTTACCCTTTTTTAAAATTCATTCCAAATAAAAGATTCAGCTGTAACATTTGGACTTTTCCTCTATTATCTAGTTGTATACAATGAGTAATGGTTATAATACATAAATTGAAACCAGTGGAGACAACTGTCTATCAAATAATTGGTAGATTTGTATTTAAACCTACTTGTGTGTCAAATAGTTGAATCTGTATTTAGTCCCAACGTTTAATGTGAACTTAGCCTTTTTTTTAATAGTTGTTTTGTGTTCTCTTCTGTTTGTTTCTGTTTAGTTTTACAGATGTAGTAGTCCCTTAAGTAGTTCCTGAAGACCCAGTTTCATTTTCGTGAATTCTTTCCAGCATTTATCTGGGAATTATTTTATTTCTCTTTCCCATTTGAAGGATGGTCTTGCTCAGTATAGTATTGTTGGCTGAAATTGTGGTTTTTTTGGAATTTTAAATACGTTTTCCCATTCTTTCCTTGCCTGCATTGTTTCAGCTGAGAGATCCAGTGTTTGCCTAATGGAGTAAACTTCGTAGATAACTTGGCATTTCTCTTTTGCATTTTTAGAATTTTGTCTTTGATTTTTACCAATTTATATGTTATGCCTACCCTATGGAGGATCTTCTTTGGTTATAGCTATTTGGTGTCCTTCTATCTCCTGGATTGGGATGTCCTCATGCCTCTCTAAATTTGAAAACTTTCCAGCTAATTATACTATGAAAGATGTTTTCTATGCCTTTCTCTTCACCTTCTGGATTATGCAGATACTTGGTTGTTTAATGGTATCTGGAATTTCCTGTTTATTGTCCTCATTTTTAGTAGTTCTGTTCTTTTCGATTGCTTGGAATAAATCAGAGATTTGTCTTCAAGGTCAAAGATTCTTCTATATTGTCTAATCTGCTGTTGATACTTTCAAGGGAGGTTTTGATTTTCTGCATTGTATTCATTATCTCCATAAATTTTGTTTGATTCTTTCTCAGTGTGTCTATTTCATTATGGAATTCCTCCTTCAAGTCATAGAAGGATTTTCTTATCTCCTAGAAGTAGTTCTCTGTTTTCTCTTACATTTTGATGACTATTGTTGCAATGGATATTCTAAATTCTTTTTCTGACATTTCTGTGATCTCTTGTATTTTATTCATGAAGAGTTATGATCCTTTGAGGAGAAGGTATTTCATGATTACCTATTTCTTGAGGCTCTGCTTTGATTTTTGGTCATCTGGTAGTATACTCCCTATTTCTAAGAGTATGTCTATACCTGTGTGCTCCTGCTCTTCTCTATGATATGCATAAACTCTGCCAATTTTCCTTCTCCACTGTGGGTGGGAGTGTTGTATCCACAGTGGAAATTTAGGGTTCAAGTATTTGGAGGGCCGTTTCTCTCCCTTTACTGCTAAGAGAGTTATGGGGAAGAATTTCTCCCAAGTGTCCTATTTCCAAGTGTTTGGTTCTTATACACCCAACTCTGACTACTCCCAATGTGGATGGAAGTTGAACTGACAGGTAGAGTGTGAAGTGGTAGACCACTTCCCCACGGCAAGGTTGGTGGAGATCCCTGCTGATGAGTTCAACCCAAGCAGCTTGCCTTGGGCCTGCCTGTTGGTCCTTCTGTCTCTAGGACTGCCAAGTCTCCCTGTTGCTTCTTTCTCTGGGATTGCAGGAAACAGGTATTGATTCTTGAAGGCCATAGAGTTCCTTCTCCCCACAGCAGGCTGGGCAGAGGTCCCTGCTGATGAGCTCAAGCCCAGCGGTTTGACATGGGCCTGCCTGTTGGTCCTGGATGGGTGAGGGGCAGAATGGCATCAGCACACATGGGGCAGAGGTTCCTACCGTCTATCTCTGGGATTGTAGGTCTCCCAATTGCTCCTTCTTTCTCTTCTACGATATTTTAACATTTGATGTTTAAATTGAGTTTGCCCTCTTACAGTAAATGCTAATCTTACCATTCAAAACATGTTTTATTTATGCTCCCCATTTTATGAAAAC